AGTGGAGTTCAGAGCAGAGACACCTTCACTCCTGGTAGCCTGCTGGTACCGGGACTTGGAGGCCAGAAACAAATGGCCCATGTAAACATCGGGAAAGACCAATGAGCATTTCACAGGCCACAGACATAGGCAGGCCGAGCCACCACTATTTGCAGATTCCCACTAATTGGTCATTACAGGGAGAAGTATACTGGTCCACTGTGAATTTCCCACAGTTCATTTTTAATCATGCACCAATCCCCTCACAAATTTCATATTCCCTATTACTTCATTCTCCAGCACTAACAGATATAATAAGGGGCCCACAGGAGCCTTTCTGAGAAATGCCATTTCCAACAGCGGTACAAAGTGATTTCTTGGAGCTGTATCCAGGGAAGCCATCACGTGTGTCTGCTGAGGGTACCATCTGACATGCTTCCTGAACGCAACGGCAGAACAGAGCACAAGTCCATTTCTATCCTGTTCTTCCTCCTTCCCTAAGGTAATCTACTAAATGGTGTTATTTGTCTTCCAAGACGGAGTTTTGCTCTTGTTGCCCAGGCTGGAGTGGAATGGCATGATCTCAGTTCACCGCAACCTCCGCCTCAGCTTCCTGAGTAGCTGGGTTTACAGGCATGCGTCACCACATCTGGCTAATTTTGTATTTTTAGTAGAGATGGGGTTTCACCACATTGGGCAGGCTGGTCTCAAACTCCTGAAGTCAGGTGATCTGCCCACCTCAGCCTCCCAAACTGCTGGGATTACAGGCGTGAGCCACGTGCCCTGCCTGGACGGTGTTTTAATGTTTCCCTCCTAATGTACCTGTCATAAAAAGACAACTCCCCTGTACCAGATTTGCTTTTGGGAGGTGGGCTGGTGCTAATGGAGTTGCCTTATTCATGCAACTTTAGGGTGGCTGGTGGACAAACTCCTGACTGCCCACACAAGCCCCCAGGACACAATAGGCATCAGGAATGTTGTGACCCTGGGCTCCACAGTGATAAAGAAACTTGGATTCCTGGGCCTGACAGTGATAAAGAAACTCCTTGCTATTGATTTTATTACTCTTAGGGACCCAGCTCTAAATTCATTGTGTATCAGTCATTTAGCAAACATCTCTATAAGCCACTCATTTAGCAAGCATCTTTATAAGTTGTAGCAAGCATCTTTAAAAGCTTCACACCAGGCATTTGGGATACAAAGGTGGTGAATAACGGTCATGATACTGGCTTGGGAGCTTATAGCATATGACATGTATTAGCTCATCACACAAAGGCATGAACGGATACCCTCTTGTGATGAGTTTACCAAAGAAATGTATGTGATTCCTGGAGAACATGGAACAAAGCAACCCCGATGAGGTGATAAAGGCAGGGAAGGTCTCCCTGAGTAAATGCAACTTTAGCAAAAGAACTTGTTATTCAGTAGCAATGGGCGAAAAGAAGGAGGTTGGGCAACAGCTTAGTAAGCAGAAGAAACAACCTGTTCAAAGGTGTCCTTTGGGAAAGAAGGAACACAGTGAATCTACAGGACTGGAGAGTGAGGAAGGACACGAGTGGTGCAAGAACATCTTGGAAGGAGGCAGAAGCCAGAGCGTGCAGAGATGAGACTCGGTTAAGAACTGTGGCCTCGGCCAGGCACAGTGGCTCAGGCCTGTAATCCCAGCACTTTGGAAGGCTGAGGTAGGTGGATCACTTGAGATCAGGAGTTCGAGACCAACCTGGTCAATATGGTGAAACTGTCTCTGCTAAAAATACAAAAATTAGTTGGGCCTGGTGGCGCATGCCTGTGGTCCCAGTTCCTCTACTCAGGAGGCTGAGGCAGGAGGATTGCTTGAACCCAGGAGGCGGAGGTTGCAGTGAGCTGAGATCACACCACTGTACTCCAGCCTGGGTGACAGAGCAACACTTCTTCCGAAAAAAAAAAAAAAAAAAAAGTGGCCTCTATCTCAGAGCAGTAGGAAATCAGGGAAGGTTTTACAAAGAAGAAAAGAATAGCATGACTGTACTTGTTTTTGGAAAGCTGACTTTTGCTAATGAGAGAAGAGATGTAAGGGAGGAGAGGTGAGCAGTGGAGGGAAGAGACTAGTCTGAAAAACACTTGCCACTCTGCTGGGTCACAAAGCATGGACTAGGTAGATGCAGGGGAGGTGAAGCCACGCTAGACTGTGATGTGGTCACACCCAGGGCAAGAGAAAAGGATAAAGATGAGCTCTCAGTTTCAGATCAGCAACTAAGCAGATGGCAGTGCCACAGGAGGTGGGGTTGTCAGGCTGGTGGAGGGGGCATATCATGGATTTCGGTTTACTGATCTGGGTTATGTATAAAGTAATACATAGACAGACTAATAGATCATGGAGTCAGACAGTTCTGGTTTTCATCTGGCTTAGCCATGTATCGTTGTTACCACTATTATTAGGAAAAATTACATTTTATAAACACTTTCATACTCATTGTCATAATGGACAACAGTCTTATGGGATTCAGGAATGTGAGACAGACAGGTGATTAATCGGTAGGGGAATAAAAAGCAGGTGTCAGGAAACCTCGATGAAGTCTTTGGTAGTAGAGATCAGGTTAGAGAGCAGGACTCTAGAGAAAGTATTCTTTTGAACATATCAGATGGTATTTTCTAAACTATCATTTTTTAAGTCATGAAGAATTCATTTCAGATCTATTTAAGAAAGAAAGCCAGCATATAAAATTAGAGACAACTGGCCTCCCTGGGTTAGAGTGGACATGATCGAGTCAGAATACCAGTGTTTCCTCCCCTTCTCTCCTTTCATCCAAGCCTCATGAAAGGGGCTTCCAGGAGTGAATTCCAGTCCATGGAACCTTACTCCTTCAACTTTTTAGCTCTTGATGGATTTCACAACAGGTCACACCACCGAGCGCATTTTAAGTCATTCTGGCCTTGGCTGCAAGTGGAGTGAAGCATTTTTAAGAAGTGCCATATCGCACGCACTGCGCCATCTTATTTCACCCCTTCCTTTGTGGCTTAGTCCCCAGCCATCTGAGAGCTGATACAACTGAGGTTCAAAATCAGTTAGAGAATTCTTTGGCGGTAAACCAGGATTTGAATTTGGGTTTTTTCCCCAATCGCTTTGTATTTTCTTTTTTCCTTTTTTTTAAGAGAAAAAAAAATGATACACTCATTTAGCTGTGATCTTACCACTATGATTCATAGCTCACTGCAGTCTCGAACTCCCGGGTTCAAGTGATTCCCCTGTCTCAGCCACTAGAGTAGCTTTGACTACAGGTGTGTGCCACCAGACTCAGCTAATTTTCAAAATTTTCTGCAGAGATTTGGTGGTGGTTGGGGGAGGGGGGGAATCTCACTATGTTGCCCAGGCTCTCAAACTCCTGGGTTCAAGCGATCCTTCCCACCTCAGCCTCCTACAGTGCTGGAATTACAGGCATGAGCCACTACATCCAGCCCACTTTGGTTGGTGTTTTCTTACGCAGTAAAGGGTGCAGGCTCAGGGGATATGGCACTGAACTACTACCAAAAGAAAGGCAAATGGTGAACACAGTGGCAGAGGCATCCTTCTGAACCATCTGCTGCTCCTCCTCCCCTGTTGCTTTTCCCCATGGTGTTGGCGCTAAGACCCCGGGAGACAGAGTGGCTTGCTTTCACCTTAATTAGTGCAGCAATTTGCTAAATTTTGTTTTCCCCTTTTTAAGAGTGTTAATCAATTTTAGCTCAGAATACACTGGAATTGCACGCAAATTACCGTGACAATCCCCAAATGCTAAATTCTGAACATCTCCATCAACCTCGGAGCCTGAAATATGTGACAATGAGAAACTCTGGACGGCGTGTCAGTGATCTATTAAAAATGTTATGGCTCTAAAATGAAAAGATAATGGGTGTATGAGGTTTGAAACAAGTAATTCGCCAGAATCAGCCTCATGCTTGGGTGTTGAGTCCTTCCCAAGGTGAGTGGAGACAGAACATCAGTGTATCTCTGCAAAGTTACATGTTCCTCTAATCACAGCAATTTGTTAAATCCATAAGCATTAGGGGGTGCCTACTATGCACCAGAAATACAGAAAAGAGTAAGGTGCGCCTCCTCCCCTCCTACCCCATTAAGAAGGGTCCGACAGATAGACAAGTGAACAAAAAATGTCTTCCTCTTTCCTGTGGAAGTGGGGTGGTTTCTAAGAGGAGTTGGCACTGTAGCTGAGTCCGGAAGGATGAACAGGAGTTGTGACAAGATAGGTGGGAAGGGCGTATGAGATGGAAGGAATGGAAGGAACAGAATAAGCAAAGACTCCAACACAGAAGAGGGGGCAATGAGAACCAGAGGTGTGCCCTATTACTTAGCAAATGCCAAGTGACAAGACCAGAAGTAGAATCAACAGCCAGAATATACAGGACTTCTTAGTCGAACTGTGGACCTGAATCATGACGCAAGCAAAACGACACTATGAAAAAATTGAAAGCGGATGAATGACCAATTTCATTTCGTTGAAACCCCTCCAGCCTGACATAACCTTCAATATTTATTCAGTAGTGTCTTCTTAAAGCACATTCAAATATATTCTCTCATTTGAGCCTCTTCATTATCACCATGAGGTTGGTATTTCATCTACCTTTTCTACTGATGAGAAAACAGGTCCAGCAGAGATAGATGGTTTTCTTTGTGTCTTCTAACCAGCAAGTGACAATACGCAAATGTAAACCCCAAGCCTGTGGGCGTCTGAGTTTCGCATTTACTTCATTGGGTAATAGAACTCTCTAGATGACAGCTACCATAGACCACTTTCAGATTATACACCAATGGCCTCCAGCGTCTCCAGAAAGTCTTGGTGGTCAAAACTCACAGACCAAGGTGGATTCTGTGCAAACAAAGGGGTTACTTTAATAAAACCAGATTCTGGTGGCAAACAGCCTCATTACACCCCAGACACTTTCAGTAAGGAGCTGAGATTTCTGGCATTGCTAAAGTCTACTAAACCACAAGCAATAACATTTCCAGCTAGAGGAGATCACGGAGGTACCTCACCTCCTGCCCCTACCTTGAGCTCGTCTGCGTTGTAGAAGTCCACACGCACGGCGGGCACCATCCAGGTCTGGAAGAGCGTGGCCAGGATCTGCTCTGCAATGGAGTCAGCAATGAGGTGGAAGTGCAGAGGGTTCCGCCTGCGGGGAGTGTGAGGAGGAAGGGTCAGACGGAGAGGTCAGGCCTTTGAATTACAGCTGCAAGAACACACTCTTTACAGTTCCTATGGTGGGGCTTGTTTGTAAAGGCAATTGTAAAAGTAAATCTGGCATGTTACCAAACCAGCACTCACTGGTGAGGCTGTAGGAGCTGAAAAGGAGAGAAGACATCTCACCCAACCTCCGTGTTTCGGAGAAGTGACAACCAACCACTAATCACTATTGACACCTAATACAGGCCAAACACCATACCTGTTAGTATTCATTCTTTTCTCTGAAAGTCTTAGGTAGAACGGGTGTTGGCTAACCTGTATATCTGCCACCTGGACATACCAGACTTAACGCAGAAACCCATCAACATAGGGTAAGTTTTTTAAACTGGCAGCAGGTGGCTGGCAAGGGACTGCTCCTGTAGCACAGCGGGACAAGTTAAATCTTCTGCTTCTTCCCCTCCAAAAAAAAAAAAAAAAACAAAAACACCACCACCCCAAAATCCAGGTTTTAAGATGGAGTCATCCAGAGCTCCCATCACCCAGTATCAGCTTGTTCTCACTTACAGTATTTCTCTATAGAAAGTCTTGGTGGCCAGAACACAGACTGAAGTGGATTCTGTGCTAACCAAGTGATTACCTTAATACTTCTGATAATAAAATCAGATTCTGGTGGCAAACAACCTCATTATGCCCTGAACACTTTCAGTTAGGAGCTGAGATTCTTGACGCTGTTTTCCTGAGACAGTACCCTAAATACAGAAGAGCATTACGCAAGGGCCAGACTTCGGAGTTAATGGAAATGGGTTCCAAACCCAGTTCGGAACTTTGTAAGTGGGAATCTTGAGCATGTCACTTACCCCTCTGCACTCTACTTCTACATTCTGGAAAAACATAGAGAAAACCTTCTCATAAGGCTGCTATGTTGATTAAACAAGGTAATTAAGTGCAAAATACGGCACATCAAAAATACACATGGGGTAGTAATCAGTAGCAGACGTACCCTAATGAGGAACTGACTAGACACAAAGCACTAGGTCAGTCAAGAAGAACTACTACCATCAACGCTATTGTGCTACTAAAACTAATGACATGAAGCGTAATGCCATGAATGAGTGCCGACCAGAAATAAAGCCCTGTGGGAAATACAAAGATGAGAATGACCCGGCCCACTGACCTCAAAGAGCTCATACCGCTCAGACACAGAGGAGCCGCAGTTAAATATAAGCACGAGGCAGAGTGTGATAAGGACTACAAAAGCACACACAGTTCCACCAGAGTAAAGCCCAGCCAATTCCCACGGGGTCAGAAGGACAAGTAAGAGGAGAGGGAAGCAGTGCCCTAAAGGGCTAAGCAGGACTTTGACAAGAGGAGAAGGCAGAGGGGATGCAATCCCAGAAGAGCCACAGGCGACAAAGGCTGGGCCCAGGGTATTAGGAGTGGGGTGGGGGTGAGGAACTTAGCAGGGCTCCAGGGTTGGTGCAGAGAAGCAGGGACATGAGAATGCTATGGGTGTTTAATTAAACAATCCGGACTTTAGGGAGGTGTTGGGGGCAGGACACTGGCCTTTTAGCTCTCAGCCATCTGCATGATCACTCCCCAGCCCTGTCGTATGTTCCAGACACACAGACCATCTCTCAGTTTCCCACTCCACACCCTGTGCTCACTCTCCACCCTGGACCTTACCATATATGGTGTACTCTGCAGGAGGCTGTCCCGCAGTTGCTCATCCAGTAAACCTTACTGAGCACACCCGATGTGTCAGGTGACAAGCTGGATGCTGGGGACACAGTGGTGAGTCAGACACACCCAAACTGTCCCTGATCTCATGGAGCTCACAGTCTGGCCCACCCTTGATCTCCACGTTCAGCACTTGGTTGTCTCTTAGTCTGCTTTAGGGCTGCCATCATTTGCTCCAAGAATCCTTTCCTGACTCTCCAGGTCTAGGTCAGGGGCCCTTTCTAACTGTTATCCCAGCCATACGTACCCGCCTACTCATCCTCACTAGGGGTTGCCTGTTGTCTACATCCCACCTATGAGCTCAGCAAGGTCAAGGATCACACCAGATGTGTTCAAATGGACAAACTGATGATCTACAGCTCAGTGCCCAGAGTAGAGGAGGAGTTTAATATAGGAACTGAATGGATAGAGGGGTGGTGAGTTGTAGACAGATAAGGGGAACAGATGTAGACATGTCACTTAGGAGATCATTAGTGTAGCTGAATGTGAAATGAGAATCTGATTAAGACCGTGTGGGTTGGTCGCAGTGGCTCATACCTGTAAGTGCAGCACTCTGGGAGGCTGAGGGGGGTGGATTACCTGAGGTCAGGAGTTTGAAACCAGTCTGATCAACACAGCAAAACCTTATCTCTACTAAAAATACAATATTAGCTGGGCCTGGTGATGGATGCCTGTAATCCCAGCAACTTGGGAGGCTGAGGCAGGAGAATCACTTGAACCCGGGAGGCGGAGGTTGTGGCAAGCCAAGATCGTGCCATTGTACTCTATCCTGGGCAACAAGAGTGAAACTCCACCTCAAAAAAAAAAAAAAAAGACAGTTTCTATCCCAGAAAGAGCAACAAGGAAGCTAGAGAATTTCAGGAGAACATATCTGAAACATGAGAAAAAAAGAGAGGGAGGAGCAGAAGGCAACATTGAGGTTCCTGGGTGGGTGGCAATGGCTCCGGGTCAGGGGATACAATGAGAAAGGCACCTTGGAGGAGGAGAGTGAGGCACACCAAGCTGAAGGTAGGGGTGGCAAAGCCAGTCCTGCTGCTGAATGGGTGGGTCTAGACCTGAACAAAGTTGTTATTCAAGTCCAATTGCCATACAAGTAACAGGTGCATAAGGGTAATAAACAGAATAAATGAATCAAAAAGCAGTCAGCACTGTAGACTTTCCCCATGGGACCTGATGCCTGAAGACTGCAAGTTTCCCATAAAATTATCTATGCTCATCACGCTCCAGGGAAAGGGGTAGCTCTTCCCTACAGCTTCCCTAAAAGCCCTGTAAGAAGCTGCCGCTGGGCCTTAGTAAAGCTTGGTGACATGAAGGGACAATGCTGTGTTTGTCCACTGGCCAGTGACTTACCTGAGGGCCAAGTCAGAGGCAGCAGGACAAAGTCACTGGGAAGACAGATGGTCCATTTAGCCCAGAGTGTTTCCAGGACTGTCTCCCAAGGCCACAGTTGCCATAATGGAGTCTTATTAATGGAGAATGGATAGAGGTAGGCCTCTATTAATATAAGTTGCATTTTTTCATCTACACTGGAGGGGCGGCTTAATTTTTGCCATGGGGTGACAATAACAAATGGACCAAGCTCCTTATATTTGCTCTAACACATCACACTTCATCTCTGTATCTTTGCTTGTGCTGTTCTCTCTCCATGTAATGCCCTTCCCTGCCTGGAAGCGCCACGAATACCTGTTCATTCTTCAAAATTCCCTTTTAAGTTATCTCCTCCTGGAAACCTTCTTTGAGCCTTTCCTTCTGTCTTTCTCCTGCCAACGTTCACACCTTGTGTGAAAAGTGAATCTACCATCTGCAGCAAGGCACTGTGATACGTATTCAAATCGCTGGCTCCTTGTCCCTACTGCAAGACCACTGAGGACAGAAACCATCACTTCATCCCCATCCACAGTATCTGGCAAAGAGCCTGGTGAATAATGGGTCCTCAACAGACATTACTATAACAACAACAAAAAGCCAATGCCTCTCCCTCTATGTCACTGAAACCGCCATCATAGGAGGGCAGAAACCGTTGATGGCACACTCCGTATCAACAGTTTGGAGTTTGGGCTCTGTTCCAGAATGTCTGGGTTGGCATCCCGGCTGCAGTATCTACTGAGTGACTGTAACAAAGTCACGACATCCCTCAAGGTCTCGATTTCCTCATCCTCAAAGCAGGAACGAGATAATGGGAAGCAAGGAATATTATTATACCGGATAATTGTGAGGGTAAAGCGACATAATAAACATAAAGTGCTCAGTAAAGCACTACCTGATGTATGTTAAGATTTCAGTGTATGTTATCTATTACCAGCACTGACTTATGGTAACTGCTTTTTTTTCCTCTACTACTTTTGCATTGCCTTTTCAATGAAGTATTTTGAATTAGTTCTTCCATCCACAGTCAAAAAATGGGCTGAATGAATATATACTCCATGAAGCGCTATTAAGCAGTAACTACATATAAGTTACCACAGGGATACAGGTGATGAATGAGCTACAAGTGCTCTCTTTGGGCAGCTTGGAGAGTCAGAGAAAGACAGAATACAAAAAACGACACAAACATTAGAACATGGATGTGCCACTAAGCTGGGCTGCCACACACAACTGCAGAGCTTGAGACAGCCCACTTCTCAGGGAGCCTTCTGCATACACTGACAGGCAATACATGTGAAGGATACTCTTAGTTAGACAGTTAGATGGAGCAGAACCATACATGATGACCCTATCGGTAGGAGCACAAAAGCTACGTGCTGGTAAGGGTGAAAGAGATGACATTTTGGTAGCGAAGAATCTGTGAGTTTCCCATAAACTATGTGGCAAGTAAAGTGCAGCTCTCAGTGGGTTAAGGAGGAGAAGAAAGGGAGGCATTCAGCGGGAAGTACGGTTGACTCTTGAGCAACACAGGTCTGAACCGTATGGGCCCACTTACGTATGGATTTTTTTTCAGCAAAACCTGGAATGGGAAACCCATGCATACTGCGGGTTGATTTTTCCCACAGGCAGTAATATAGTATGGATATTTTTTCCCATCCAAATCACATTGAAATGTAATCCCCAATGTTGGAGGTGGGGCCTGATGGGAAGTGTTTGGATCACAGGGGTGAATCCCTTGTGACTTGGTGCTGTTCTCATGATAGTGAATTTTCTCAAGATCTGGCTGGTTTAAAAAAAAGAGAGTGGCACTTCCCCCGACTTTCTCTTGCTCCCACTCTCCTCTTGCATGTGATGTGCCTGCTCCTGCTTCACCTTCTGCCATAAGTA